CAAGTAAATCACACAGAAAGAGGCAAACACAAGTCTGCCAATTTTCCAGGCAGGAGGAAGGGCATGTGTGAACCTGAAGTCTCTTTTGAGGCTAGAACATGGCTAATAAGGAGGAGAAGCTGTTTCAGCAAGAGTAAACGTCTACAACCTCTAAGAAAAAAAAAACAAGCCCTAGCTCAGATAAGACCTTTTTGTCATCAGTATAATACACATCTCAAAAGACTTGCAATCTGAGACATCTTTGTTACACGACAGTCTCTCCCCTCAGCAGTATAAACTACACAAATACATTACATTTCTTTTGTATTCTCTGCGAGAAACCAGCTTCCCTTAGAGGGACTTCAAACCCAAGCACACTGCAACTTCAAAAACAAAACTGCAAAATGAAAACCCAAGATTCCTCTCAGTCAGAAAATAATTGTCCTTCTGAAGAGCAAAGTTTGTCAGGACAAAGAAAAAAGCTTCTTTGTAGGCTGGTCTGACTGAAATCAGAACTCTACTGAAAAAAATCATGACCATTTTCTCTGAACGTTTTTAAGATACTAAGAAAGCAGTTACACAGCTTTTCTTTGAAAACATAACAAACAGAGAACAAACTATCCTTGATGAGGTTTAGCAACATCAATTAATACACTAATTAAGGTGCAGTGGGAAAGGAAGACTTTGAACTGAGCATGTAAGTGCAGCACTGGCAGTAGATAAAATATTTCATTAGTCTGATGGATTTTTAGATTGTGAAGGAACTGAAGAGTAGATTTTTGGATGCCCACTCCCTGTACACACAAGATATGTCAACACACATTTCTTTTACTCCTGCAGCTATTAAACAAGCTTCTTACAGGCACTTTAACTGGTGTTTTTTGGGCGAGGGTCTACCCTTCTGTACTGGGGAGGGGATTCCTTTCTTTAGCATATGGTGACCCAACAACTTTTCAGGCTAGAAACTGCTGAAGAGTAGGATTTGTGTATAGCAGATTACACACAGTTAAAAAAATAATTCAACAAATCCTATTCTCTCCTTGATTTATACATTACATGACACTTGTGTATCTAGGAGAGAGCACAACTGAAATGTGTGCCCAGATTTTTTCAGTTCCCACTCTTTACCAAACAACTGAAAGGCAAAGAAAGACACGCTTAGAGGCCACGCGAGATACAATATACATGGACAAGTTCACTCAGTTGTCCCAGCTTCTTTGGGGTGCAAGGCTTTTTCCCTTGCCTATTCTCACACAAGTGCATTCAGTGTGGTTCCCCTAATGTTTTTTCCCCAAGCAGAGGACAAAGTAAAGTCGTCCTCAAGCTTCATTCAACCTCAGATTTTCCAATGCTTTCCACTGGGTATTAAGGCAAACAGAAAACACATTTAGGCAAAACACCTCGGAGAGCCACTAATGACTTCCAGTGGCTTTCCAGAAAGGTGTGGTAATCCTCTGAAGCACCAGAGATAACCCAACACCCTTTCTGTAGACAAAAGGGATGCGTTCCCAAGCCCGTAAGAGCCTCGGGCCAAGGGGAAGTTCACATGCTAAGTGAGAAGGCCTCTTCCCTGTGAGGGGTCTTATCTTGATTCTGCTGGAAAGGAAAAGAAATCCTTGGGAGAGATATTCCAGCCATGACTTAAGGATGCAATACAGTGGTTCAGAGTTAACTCCACGGTGAAAACAAAATCCGAAGTCAAATGCAAAAGTGAGATTTTTAAGTAGTAGAGGAGTAAATAATCACTGCACTGCCTCACCACCTGTTTCATTCGCAGCTGAGAACAGCTTTGCTGATCTATTGTCCACACTGCACAGCAAGAATTANACCACCACAGTGATTTATTTATAAAAAATCACCTTTATTTACTGGTTTATCACATATCAGGCAGTATTAAAAACTACTAGCAGCATATTAACTCCAAAATTGCAGCTGAATCCTTCACAACTGTGCCAAGTGTTACACACTTTTCATTAGTTACACAGAATTGCTTCTCACCTCAGTTTATAACCAGATGGTTTCTATCTATCTCTCAATACTTCATATAAAAACTGAGCTCACCAAAATACTAAGATCCAAGGTTCTGCCTATCTCAGTTCTTACATCTCTGCTTTAAAATATCTAGTGAAATATTCCATGGGACCAAATGACTTTCAAAAACTTCTTTATCATCATCTGAAGATTAAGCTAAACCATGAACATTCGTGTGTTTTTCTTGCATTTTCCCTCCTGTCATGATGTTACCAGAGCTGTGGAGGGTAATTACTGGAACTAGCAGCAAGCTCCAGTGAGAACTCCCCTTCTAAGGAAGAGAGCCTAAAATTCACTATTTCAGATATAGTTCTTCTAAAATATAAAACTTCCCTGCTCCTTACAACTCTCAAGGGATCTTTATGCTAATAAAAAGGCTCCAGGAAGAGCCCTCTGGCACACTGAAGATCATCTTGCTCTGGCCTTACCATGACTCACCTCTGATCTCCACTCTGACACAACTGTTCTAGCTTGAGGCTCAAGGCCATTCTTCTCAAAAGCAGCAGCTCAGGATTTGAAAGCTGATTAGACCATAAACATGTAAAAACCTAGGAAGACTTAAGCTAGAGAAATCATATTCTCATCTGCTAATCTCTGGTTTCCCACAGGGTAACTCTCCATCCATGTCTATGTTGACAGATTTACCATGGGCCAGGTCCTCCAGAGGACTGTAAGAGCAACCAGAGTCTTCCCCAAACACACCACTGAACTGAAGCACACGGGTAACAAACCCAAAATGGATATTAGCAAAACAGCTCTACAGATTTATAGCCTTGCCTTTAAAAACAGCACCTTGTATGCTTCTGTTGGTTCCTTCCCCTTTCTTTCTTTCCCATGCACTCGTCTACAGTCAAGATGTTGCTGGCACACCAGGACAGTCACATGGATTCCCAATACAAGTGACACTGGAGATCCTATCTGACAACACCCAATTCTCCCAGCCAAAAGTGAGTTATATGAACAGAAATAGTTCTTCATCAAATCCTAAGCAACCAGCTCCTCATATTTTTATTCCATTATTACTGATTTAACACTAAATTAATTTCCCATGAAACACTCAGAACATTCCAGGATCATTACATGTTTTGCATTGGTGCTAATATAAATGCCCAGCTTGTTTCATTTCTTGAACAGTCAAAATATTTGATAATAATTTCACTTGAGGAAACAAAAAAATAGGATTCAGAATCAACCCTCTACATTTCACCTACAGTAGAGTATGATTAACGTAACAAAAGCCAAAAGGCTTTCCTCTAGTGTTTGCCAGTTCTGTAGCTGCCTTTTCCTCTGCGCTCCATAGGAAGTTTTGCTGTCAAATCTGCAAAACTCCCAAGACTCCAAGGTGCTTTCTCTAAGTGCTCCAGGGTTTTTTTTAACTTGGTACTTTTTGGGGCATTTGGGATGGGGAGGCTCTATTTTATTTCTACTGTATCAGATTTCAATTCATACCACACTTCCCTCCAAGAAATATTTTGCAAAGCACATAAAACACCTTTCTTTTCACTCTGAGGATTTAGGAACATTGAGGGGTTCTGCATGTGAATTTCCCCATTCTGAACCCTGATATGCCTCACAGGGAACTTCAGAGATAATTATTTTCCCTATGGAATGTTTTTTTAATGATAGGGCACAATCTGATGTACTGAAAAAACACAGGAGCCTTAATCTGCTATTTCTTATTTAGGTAAGATGCAAATTGCTTTCACAGGACATGGTCCTTATCTAAGAAAGCAGCAAATCCTGCACAATGAACACACCACTAGTAGTAACAACCTTAGCATGTGCATTCCACATTCTCTTTTTAGTCAGATCTATAACCATCAACTAATTCACCCCTTACACCAAAAGGGCCCAAGAAACTTCATTTTACTATAGGAAATTAAAAGCCTAGAAACTTAAATGGCTGTGAAGAAAAATCAATAGTTTAGTCAAAATTAGATTTTTTTACGAGTTTCTGGTATCAGATATGGAGACTTCAATTCCAATTAAAAAGCTGCATCTGGATGCCATAATAATCCATTATAGAAGTGCACCTGACCCCTGGAGAAACAAAGAAGCTGGAAGAAGCCTTCTTACAAATCCAGTAACACAGTAGATCACATAGCAGTGTGATGTGAAACACAGAACCCTTCAAGTTTTAAAAAACACTGAAACTGAATTATTCAAGAGAAAACATTGATTTGTGACATTTTCTGAACACCACACTTCCTTGAGAGAATTTCTTTCTCCAAGACTTGCATTTATTCAATAGGCATAAAATGGACTTCTCAAGCTTGCTACTCAACATATTAATATTTGCTCTTCATCTTTTACTTCAACTACATTACCACAAAACTGTAAGAATACTTATGGCACTGTGCAAACGACAGTGTTCTTCAAAGAACTAATGATCTTGAAATTATGCAGTCTCCAGGCTGCAACACAGATCAGATTTACAGGAATCAGTAAAATCTTCACTCTAAAAGATTTAACTGCAGAAGTTTTTGCATCTCTGTAACTCTGAACATAACAAAGTGAACACATTGTTGGTACTTAATATCTTAGAAAAAGTCTAGTTGTGCTTTTTTCCATTCATTTCCTTAAGATGAAAGTTCAAGCTTTTAAATTGGAGATAATCAGAAGAATTCATACTTTACTGTTCACTTACACAAAAACCAAATCAAGTGGTGTCTTCCAAGTTAAAGGTCAAAATAGGTACTGCTTTTTAAGAGTAAATTCTTACAAATTTTTCATATTACAATGTTCATTCAATGAGGTGTGATTTCATAAAGAGCAGCATATTTTTGCAATCACAGTTTTTAAGAACTCTCAGCCAATACAGACTATTAACCACTCCTATGTTAACCACAGAAAATGAACAGATGACCAAAGTTCTTGCATTTCTCATTTGGTCTCCTTTGGCTAGGCTGAGCTGTGTAAATGCAATGTGAACTTAGACCAAAGGAACACGGGGAGTGCACTGCAGTGGGAATGAAGGGAACAAGTCCTACCTGGGGGCACAAGGTCTCGATGTGGTTAGCTGCCATCTGGACAATTTTCGTTCCATCTTCATTTGTGGACAGCGAACAAGCAAGATTGGCAACCTCAAATAAAAGAAACAAACAGCCAGGTAAGCAAGCATTCCTGCTCAGACTTCAAACTTGCCAAAAAACATCTCTGATAGAAAGCCTTCATTTTGGAGGAGAAATATTTTGTCAAAGAATGTTTTTCAACAAGGAAACACTGCAGGAGGAAAAAAACGCTGTGGAGAGAGGTGACAGTGATGAGAAATCTTACGATATCACCCCAATTTAGGCTCAGCAGGTAACAGCTACAGACTGGTGTTTGGAAACTAGGAGGAAATTTCAAAGTAAGAGCCTAAGGTTTCAGTAGATTGCTTGTGATCTTGCCCCTTAATTTTTCAGAGCCCTCCAAACCATGACCAGCTTTTATACTGTTCATTTAAACTTCCTTTTAAGACTTTAAAGCTCAAATAACATTTATCTTGACCTGTTGTAATTAAACACAAAGTAACTTCTGCCCTGAGCTATCCACAGATCGTTCTTTTAATTAATAGTAGGGTTTTCAACCAAAAGGATCCTATCATATAGCATATACAGTGCAGCCAACAGTGACAACGTATATGGAAGCCTGAACTCTGTGAAAGAACAAATCTATCTTCCATTGTAACACACACCAAAGAGATACAGCTTCCTTTGAAGTAAGCATCTCTTCCACAATGCCCAAGTTCAAATGGATGAAGGAAAAAGCGTCTCACTGCAAGTGAAGATCAACAAGCTGAGAGGTTTGACAAAGGTACAGGAGAGGCTGGGACACACCAGCATGCAGGAGATCTTTTTATCCTGCTCCAGTAATACAAAGTCCTTCCTAAGCTACTCCACACTTGTTACCCACCACGGCCTCCCCCGAGGTAACTACACTGCCCACAACCACTCTGATGTTAATGCAGCCCAAAAACTGCCTGAGAACACACCCCTGCAGTGCTGCAAATATCAACACACAGCCACACTTATTCTGGAGCTTCCCAAAACTCAAACAACAACTTCTACAGTTCAGCTGCTGTGAAATGAAAGCAAATCTGCCTTTATCAACAACATTTCAGGACACCACCACTAGTTCAACGCTGATTTACTACCAAAGGCTTTCATCATTCTTACTTAATTCTAAGAATTGTAATAAGTAATTACAAGGCATTAGTGCATAGACAAATTAATTACTTTTCCTACTGAAAATTCAGAAGGGATTAAGAAACACTTTCTGAAAGGGGTGATTCAGAATGCAGGGCCTTGCATTTACACCTGTGCCTACACAAAAATACTTCCTACAACCTTCCCCTGGTACTCCAATACAATTCACTGGTTCCCTACCTATGTGATACATTATCTTTTCCATACAAAAAACAATGGCTAAGACTGAAGAAATTCAGTTTTCATCAAGGCACTGACACCTTATTCTCTTTTATTAGAAGTAAACTGCCATGGGTTGGTTTTTAATGCAGTTATCTGAAAAAACTGGCCTGCTTCTATGCTTTCCTTCCTGACTCTTCAGCTTAAACTACCCACAATACCCCCTATTATACTGCCACAATACAACCCTAAATTATGCTATTCCCTCCCCTCAAAGGAACACAGAAATTTTAAAAAAATAAATCAGTTTTTCTTTGGATTGAAGTTCACGAGTCTTCACTACTGGTCCCAACAATTAATTCACACTGGCTTCAGTATTTTAGTTCCTTTGCCCCAGTCACTGAGGTGGTCATGTATCCAAACACTACTGATTTTAAAAACTCTTCTACGCCTAAAGCAGTAACATTTCAAAGGTAAAATAAAAAGGCAGTGCCAGCTGTTCCACCAGGACAAAAACTCTCAGGAGCTTTTTTTCTCCTTGCCATAAGGTTCCTCATGTTTTAAATTCATTTGGCAGTTTCCAGAAGAACTTTACTTTCGTTTCTTGGAATGCACTACAAACGTGCACTATGGAGCTCCTGTTTATCAGTGAGGTACTGCTCTAAGCAGTTTTGTCCCTGTCTTAATGAGCAAGGCAGACACGGACAGTTTACAGCAACTTTTTATCCTGTTTCCTAGTTACACCAGCTCCAGCATTTCAGTACTTGCATGGAAACTGTGTCACAGTCATAAATAATAATAATAAAAAAACAGAAGAGGTTTCCAGAGATCACGTACTCCAACCCCCTGTTCACAACATGAGAACAAACTCCAAACAAACTGGTGCCAATAGCTGAATGTAACAGATCAGCACCTGGGGACAAATTCTGTGTCTTACCACACCATGTGGGAGACTGGAAGGGTAAAAGTGAGGCTCTTCTCTGACAAAGCATGCTCAGGTCAAGAAGGGGCTCTCAACCCACAAGTACTCCTCTTTATTTGAGGTCAACAGCAATAAGGAGTTTTTTCTTAACACAAAGAGGAACAGTTTTCTGATCTTATGCTCCCCTTCCTGCTCTAAGCATTCCTTGTTGTTGACCCAATTCAGAATAGTATTCTCAAAGCACAAGCACCAAAACAAGGGGATAAGCACTAGGAATTTGTGTTAGGCCATTTTACAACAGCAAACAGAGCTTTGTACCATTTACATTAGGTGTCTTAAAAAAATTAAGCTGAACAAAGAAGTACTGGCTACTTTTGAATGTTATATTTTGGATGTGTATCTGGAGTTCATACAGTGCTATGCCAGCAGCAGATTTAGACCTTTGCCCTTCATTTTGATCCATGTTAATAAGACTTCTGTTTCCATGAGAAAACGGGCAGTATTTTCTTCTGGCACCGAAGCAGCACTGGTCCACACGTACCTTATCCATAAGTAAAAGGGCCCTCAGTCAGTCCCAGCAGTAGGTGACGAGGTCACAGCTGTTCCACCCAAAGACAACCCAGATCCCTGCAGGTCATGACCATGGTCTCAGCCATCAGTACACGCACTGGTGGTACTTCCCTCACCAGCTCCTCAAGAGATCTCCTTAACACAAACCCAAAACACAGTAATAATTCAAGTAAATCACACAGAAAGAGGCAAACACAAGTCTGCCAATTTTCCAGGCAGGAGGAAGGGCATGTGTGAACCTGAAGTCTCTTTTGAGGCTAGAACATGGCTAATAAGGAGGAGAAGCTGTTTCAGCAAGAGTAAACGTCTACAACCTCTAAGAAAAAAAAAACAAGCCCTAGCTCAGATAAGACCTTTTTGTCATCAGTATAATACACATCTCAAAAGACTTGCAATCTGAGACATCTTTGTTACACGACAGTCTCTCCCCTCAGCAGTATAAACTACACAAATACATTACATTTCTTTTGTATTCTCTGCGAGAAACCAGCTTCCCTTAGAGGGACTTCAAACCCAAGCACACTGCAACTTCAAAAACAAAACTGCAAAATGAAAACCCAAGATTCCTCTCAGTCAGAAAATAATTGTCCTTCTGAAGAGCAAAGTTTGTCAGGACAAAGAAAAAAGCTTCTTTGTAGGCTGGTCTGACTGAAATCAGAACTCTACTGAAAAAAATCATGACCATTTTCTCTGAACGTTTTTAAGATACTAAGAAAGCAGTTACACAGCTTTTCTTTGAAAACATAACAAACAGAGAACAAACTATCCTTGATGAGGTTTAGCAACATCAATTAATACACTAATTAAGGTGCAGTGGGAAAGGAAGACTTTGAACTGAGCATGTAAGTGCAGCACTGGCAGTAGATAAAATATTTCATTAGCCTGATGGATTTTTAGATTGTGAAGGAACTGAAGAGTAGATTTTTGGATGCCCACTCCCTGTACACACAAGATATGTCAACACACATTTCTTTTACTCCTGCAGCTATTAAACAAGCTTCTTACAGGCACTTTAACTGGTGTTTTTTGGGCGAGGGTCTACCCTTCTGTACTGGGGAGGGGATTCCTTTCTTTAGCATATGGTGACCCAACAACTTTTCAGGCTAGAAACTGCTGAAGAGTAGGATTTGTGTATAGCAGATTACACACAGTTAAAAAAATAATTCAACAAATCCTATTCTCTCCTTGATTTATACATTACATGACACTTGTGTATCTAGGAGAGAGCACAACTGAAATGTGTGCCCAGATTTTTTCAGTTCCCACTCTTTACCAAACAACTGAAAGGCAAAGAAAGACACGCTTAGAGGCCACGAGAGATACAATATACACGGACAAGTTCACTCAGTTGTCCCAGCTTCTTTGGGGTGCAAGGCTTTTTCCCTTGCCTATGCTCACACAAGTGCATTCAGTGTGGTTCCCCTAATGTTTTTTCCCCAAGCAGAGGACAAAGTAAAGTCGTCCTCAAGCTTCATTCAACCTCAGATTTTCCAATGCTTTCCACTGGGTATTAAGGCAAACAGAAAACACATTTAGGCAAAACACCTCGGAGAGCCACTAATGACTTCCAGTGGCTTTCTAGAAAGGTGTGGTAATCCTCTGAAGCACCAGAGATAACCCAACACCCTTTCTGTAGACAAAAGGGATGCGTTCCCAAGCCCGTAAGAGCCTCGGGCCAAGGGGAAGTTCACATGCTAAGTGAGAAAGCCTCTTCCCTGTGAGGGGTCTTATCTTGATTCTGCTGGAAAAGAAATCCTTGGGAGAGATATTCCAGCCATGACTTAAGGATGCAATACAGTGGTTCAGAGTTAACTCCACGGTGAAAACAACATGCGAAGTCAAATGCCAAAGTGAGATTTTTAAGTAGTAGAAGAGTAAATAATCACTGCACTGCCTCACCACCTGTTTCATTCGCAGCTGAGAACAGCTTTGCTGATCAATTGTCCACACTGCACAGCAAGAATTATATGTACCCCCAAGGATTTTTTTCAGTCAAATTCACTCCATTAACTCCCGAAAATAAGTATTTGCTCAGGAACAGATTGTCTGCTAACTAGCTACATTCTTCTTCTATAAATTGTACAAAATGAAGCAGCATGTTCTCTAGATGTGATCCCTTTTGCTCCACCGACAGAAGCTCAGTTTCTTTTCATTATTTTACCCCAAGTCCCAACTCACTTATACTGTAAATCACCAAGGATAACTCAGTCATTAACTCCATGAAAGCTTCTGTTCTCTCTTCTTG